GCTTCAGTAGTCCCAAGTCTGCTCACAGGGGCACTCCAAAGGGCAAGGTCTGCTCACACTCCAAAGTCTTCATCGTCATGGCATAGTTTTAAAAACAACGTAATAAACCAAATTACAATATTCAGTATAAATGAAATATAACAATACGATAAAAGAAAAACAATCCTTGGCTTGAGTATTCTGATTTTACAGAATTAACACACAACCCAAATAAATCAATTCATTCTTCACACAAATTTTAGAGATCAGCCACAGTAGAAGTGTAGCTGCTCTGTATGCAGAAGGTCCAAGGTTCAAGTCTCAGCATCTCCAGGAAGGGTTGGGAATGTCACTTGATCTGAAACCCTGGAGAGCCACTGCTATTCACTGCAGAACAGAATTCCCTAAATCCATGCCCTCCAGATGTTTGAGACTACAACTTCCATTATCCCTGGCCATTGGGCATGCTGGCTGGAGCTGGTGGCAACTGCGGTCTAAAACATTATGAGGGCACCAGGTTGGGGAAGCCTGAGTTAGATGAAACAATGGTGTGGTTCAGTATAAGGCAACTTCTGACCTTCCTACAGACTGTACCACATCCTACTGAAGTATTCATCGCTTTCGGAAACATCTCAGATCTGAATGCAATATTTAAAACTGCCATCTTCTCTGTTGCTACACTGGCAAAGTCCCCAATTCTCACTAGATTTCCTGCATCTGCTTTTGGCATCCTCAGGCTGTTGCGAAGGCTTCAGTGCCTCCAGAGGCCTCACTGCTAGCATGGCTAATGCTCCATGATTATGGGAGCTTGAACCCAGCAAAATCTGCAGGGTACCAGGTTGGGAAAAACTAGTGTAGACAATGAAGTGTAGAAACAATTAGAACTAGTGTAGAAACAATTGTCTGCTGCTAGACGCAGGTGGCGCTGTGGGGACGCGGGTGGCGCTGTGGGTAAAACCTCAGTGCCTAGGGCTTGCCAATCGCATGGTCGGCGGTTCGAATCCCCGCGGCAGGGTGAGCTCCCGTCTTTCGGTCCCAGCTCCTGCCCACCTAGCAGTTCGAAAGCACCCCTAAGTGCAAGTAGATAAATAGGTACCGCTTTATAGCGGGAAGGTAAACGGCGTTTCCGTGTGCTGCGCTGGAGCTGGCTCGCCAGAGCAGCTTCGTCACGCTCAGCGGCGTAGCGTGGGTTGTCAGCACCCGGGGCAAGGCAAGTAATTTGCGCCCCCTAACCCGGGGCAAGGCAAGTAATTTGCGCCCCCTAACCCCTAACCTGCCGCCGCCGCCAGCTTCTTCTTGCTGCTGCCTGGGCTGGTCTGGTGTGGTTCTCTCCCGCGCTCAGCACTGCGCTGGGCGGCCGCTGCACTGTCCCTCCCCCAGATAGTCCCTCGCTCTCTCTCTGCACCGCACGCCTGGCACCCACCCCCTCCACAGTGGGCGGCGACCCAGCGGCTCGGATCGGATTCGCACAGCCAGCACTGCAGTGAGAGAGAGTGAGTGAACCAGGTAGGGGCAGAGAGCTGCGAGTGCGAGCGCCCCCCCCCGATGTTGCGCCCGGTGCGGCCGGCCCCCCCTGCACCCCCCACGCTACGCCACTGGTCACGCTGGCCACATGACCTGGAAGTGTCTCTGGACAGCGCTGGCCCCCGGCCTCTTAAGTGAGATGGGCGCACAACCCTAGAGTTAGACACGACTGGCCCGTACGGGCAGGGGTACCTTTACCTTTAGATAAGGCCACTTACGGTGTTGGGAAGGGGCCATATCTCTGTGGTAGAGTGCATGCTTTTCAGGCAAAGGTTCCTGGATTCAAGCCCAGCCATCTCCAGGTCAGGAAAGACCTCTTTCTGAGACCCTGAAGAGCTGCTGATGCTCTAGATGGACCAGTGGTCTGCCATAGCCAAAGGCAGCTACTTACATTCTTAAGCCATGTAAAGTTTGTCGACCAGAAAAGCCAGAATAAATTATGCAAAATAGCAAAGACTGCAGCATAAATTATGCAAAATATCAGAGGCATTTTGCAAACCTATTTGGGATGCATCATTTATTCAGGTCACAGAAAGTACCGGTAGCTTTTCTCCGCACATAGTTCTGTCTTGATGCATACAGCTGTACAGAAAGGGCTGAATCAAGCCAATGACCTATCCTGTTCTCACAGCATCCTGTTCTCACAGTGGCCAACTGGATGCATGTGGGAAGCCTGCAAGCAGGACCTGAGCGCAAGAGCAGTCTCTCCCCTCCCGCAGTTTTCAGAGGCTGGAGGCAGAGCACAGCCATCAGAGCTAGTAGCTATTGAGAACCTTCTCCTCCATGAATGGCCATGATGCGCAGCTCTGCTTGGGTCAGTGCTAGCCCATGCAGCCTCCACAGGCATCCCTTCAATATGTTGGAGGAGTTGCTTGTGGTCACATGCATACTATACATTTGAAGCACGTGGCTCCCCTTATTGAATCCTCAGAACTGTAGTTTGTTGAGGATGCCGGAAATTGTAGCTCTGTGATGGGTAAAATACAGTTCCCATGATTCTTTGGGGAAAGTCATGTTCTTTAAATGTACAAGGTAGATATGGTGAGTGGATGATGGTTTTTGTTTTGGAGTATTTTGAGATTTAAAATGCAAACTAGACAGATTTGGGTCTTTTCTGAAGTTATAAAATCAGGGTTGGGGAAACCCCTTTTGACTGAGGGCCAGATTCAACCTTCTGAGGGCCGCATTCCCATGGCTGGAGCAAAAGGTTTTCAAGGTGTTCTAGCATACATTGAAAATCCTTCTGTAAAATAAACATAATTTTGGCTACTAGAATAGAAACAGTACACCCTTTCAAAAAGGAGGTAAACTATGTGCAAATGTCATCTTATCAACAAGTTTGTCTCCACAGAAAGAAAACCACAATGGTTACTTGGATGGAATTTCCCAAATCCAATTTCACTTCACAGAAAGCAGCACTGTATTTTTCGGTGCCACTTCATAGCCAAAGGATTGGCCAGTTCTTGCCAATAAATGTAATTATTATCATTCCTGTTTTGTGGGCAGAGCCAAAGTGAAGGATCATATTTTTGGAGCACAGCTTTCAAGTTAGGCCAAAGGCCCCCCAGAGATGGTGGTGATCTTGTAGGAAATCCTTCAGCTGAACATTCTGCCAACTTAGCCCTTTTCCACTATCCCAACTACTTGTGCACTCTCACTTGCACTTTATCATCTCAGAGACCACAAAAGGGCAGTGACTTGAAAAATCAAAGGAACCTGCTATTTCATAAAATAAAAATAAAATAAATCAACAACCATCCTCCATAATTTCAGCCACAGTCTGCCTGAAAACACAGACTGTGGTCTTTATAGCACCAGATGTACTATAAAATGGGAATGATCCAGAGAAAATGACAGAGAAGGATCACATGCAGAAGGTCCTGGGTCCGGGTTCAATCCCTGGTGTCTCCAGGTATGGCTGGGAGAGACCCTCTGCTTGAAAGACTGGAGAGCTGCTGCCAGTCAGTGCAAACAATACTGAGCTTGATAGACCCAAGGGTCTGACTCCATATAAGGCAGCTTCATGTGTTCCTGTGATAAGCTTGGTCCTCTCAAGAGTATGACATGCAGAACCTGAAAGTGTTTCATTTTTGAAAACAACAGAATTCACTACTACGTGATGTGGTGATGGCTAGTGGTCCAGATGGGCTTTTGAAAAGGCCTAATGGACTCTGCAAGAAGATCTGTCGCAGTGTGGAGCTTTCCTGTTCTGTCCGTCAGCCACACCCTTTCCCAGGACACTCCATTCCGTTCTCTCTCCTTCCAACAGTCAGCCAGCATTTTTGTGCCCATTTAGCATGATTAATCTTGATTTCGCCATTTTGGATCCCACCCCTTTCCCAGTACAATTCTGAAATGTATACTTAAAAGTTAAGTCCTCTTGAGTACATTTGGGCTTACTTGCAAATTAAGTATGTATAGGACTACAGAGCACACAAATGGAAATTTTGGGGTTCTTGCTGAATCCACCCTCTTGCTCATGGATGCTGCTGCTCCGGCTGCATAAAGATCCACACTAAAAATAATGAGTTTGTTATTAGGCAAATTCATAAGGGATATCTGTCAATGGGTTTTAGCCATCATGACCCTGACATAGAACCTCCATAAAGTAAAGTAAAGAAGAAAGTGTAGATCCCAGAACCATGCAGTCTGCCTGCTTCTGTTCTAGACATTTCATCAACATTGAAATGAGTTGCTGTTGGTTCTGAGAGGCTTCCTTCCAAATACAGGGGAAGGGAAAAACTGGTGGAACTGTTTGGCTATCCCTGTTGTGTTTGGACTGTCATTCCATTCTCTGTTGAAACAGGAGTGTGAGAACCTTTGGGTTTCCCAGACGAGTTTTAGACCAGCATTGTCTCTAGAAAGAAAAGGAAGCATGAAAGCTGAACGTTGTGTGACAATTCTGGGAATGATGCAGGAATTGATTCAGATAAGCCTTGGGGTCTCTAAGTGGTAGCATATTTCTAGCAAGGATGGGGATGGATGAATCTGTCCCTCTCAGTTTCCTATTCACCCCACCCCACCCCCTTTAAATTCTGTTTTTGATTTTTTTGCATCTATTTGCAAACTTCTTTCTTTTTTTTAAAAAAAAAAAAGCCCACACAAAAATCTGTATGCCTTTTCCTGTGCATTTCCCCTAATACGTGCAGTTTGCTCAATATTTTCATTTCTGCAAGCAGATAGTCCTAACAAAATGCAGGTTGGGAATTTATATACACTAGTATGTGCATTTTTGTGCCACAAAATTCAGAGAAGTGCAGATGTTGAAGAAGAGCTGTGTTTCGGCTCACTAATAGTTTTGAGAAGTGCAAATGAAATTCTCCCCCATTCATAATCAGGGATGCTGTCTGTATTCACCACCTTAAAATTACATTCCACCTTTGCTAACATGAAAACTACTGAGCTTCTGTTTATTGGGTATTGTGGGTGCGCAGAGCAGTTTCTTAGACTAGCAAATGTGTCTTTGGGACAAAATAAAGGCCTCTCCCAGTCCTACATGGAGATGCTGGGAATTAAACCTGGGACCTTCTGCATGCAAGGCAGATGTTCTTCTCACTGAGCTACTGTCCTTCCCCTTTTTCTCCTTTGAAGTCTTGCACCCCTATTACCCTGTGCAGGAGGCTATGCAGGCCTGACTTAAACATGATGAAGATCAGAAAGCAGCTGGCACATCCAAAGTGCTGTGTGAATTATTAATTCATCCTACTCCTGACCCAAGTAAGATGAGAACTAACATGTGCATCAGAATGCAAAACACATCCATAAGGCCACGGGGTGGGGAGCAACACAGCATTGAAATGTTATAGTTATGCAATATAGTATTTCTGCACCCCTGGGAAACCCTACTATGTGTCCAAATATTGCATTTTAATCGACAGCAACAAGAATGATCAACTTTAAGCACAGAACATTCCAAGAATGTGTTTCCGTGCTGGGTATTGTTCTGAATGCCCCTCTCCCTCGCATTCTCCATTCAGTTTCATTTCAAGTCAAGAAAAGTTATCCATATTTTATGATGATTTGTGTTCAGGGAATTGTGCATCTAAAAATATTGTGTTACCCCAGGGGCCTCACCAGGCAGCTTTTGCATCTCGACATTCACTTTACGCATGATGCGGTCAGCAGGTAATTGGCTAAACTGCAGAGGTGGAATGTGATCTGAAACACTTTTAAGAATGGCCTGGATTCAAGTGCTGCACATTTTAACGAAAGCCAGGCTCATGTAGGCAAAAGGAAAGCCAGAATCCAGGGAAGGTGGGATTAAGCAGAAATTAATGCTTCGGAATACCAGTTGCTGGAGACCACAGGAGGGCAGAGTGGCCTTGTGGTTGAATCCTGCTTGCTGGTTTCCCACCAGCATCTGTTTCACCACTGTGAGAACAGGATGCTGGACTATATGGACTATTGGCCTGATCCAGCAGGCTCTTCATATGTTCTTGTTGATAAAATCAGTTACACACACACATACACACCACATAATTATGAAGTGTGGGGAGGGAGGGAGGGAGGGAGGGAGGGAGAACTGCCTCCCACAGAAAACAAATATTCATATATATTTGAATATATATATTCACACACCTATGTATATAGGTATACATTGCAGGGACAAGCTCATACACTTCCTTGTGGTCAACCCCTGTTCCCCCAGTATCTCACTCTGGAAAATTACTGCCCTATGTTTTGCCTTTGGGGAATGCTTTGGTGGAAATTGAAGTGCGAGTTGCAGAGTTCAGCTCCCTTCTTATCTGCTCTTAGAGTAAGGTGCGGAGGTCACATTTTCAGAGTCCCTTGGTAATATCCAATGTTAGTCAACCTTAGAACAGACCCACTGAAATCCAACTCCAATCAGCCCCAGCCAATGTGGCCAGAAGTCAAGGATGATGGGAACTTTAATCCAGCAGCATCTGGAGGGTCACAGGTTCCCCTCACATAGTAGCAGCCATGGGTGTCTGTGGAAATAACCTGAGGCAAGGCCTATGACTTGTAACTATAGGTTGTTGACTTGACAACTTCCAGTCTTTATACAACTGAAGTAGCTGCAGAAAGCCATAACTGAACAATGAGAGACAGCTCTGCTTCTTTTGCTTTCTCTCTCCAGCAACCTTATATGGAAAACCCTTGTGCCTTTCTTTCAACCTTCACCCAATCAAAATAGCAGCACCACATTTCTCAATCTTTTCAATCTTAAATCCACATTTCCACGTCAGTTTGCAAAATTATTCTAAGTCCTCCTGAAAATTCAAAGGCAATTTTCTGCGAATATATGCCTTATTGTATGTAATTTTACCTAATATACACAATTTTGCAAAGCCGTCTTCCCTTAAAGAACACATTTTGCATGTTATGTTCACTAATATAGCTGCACTTTATCCCAACATATGTGTTTTTGCACACAAGAGAACTCAATTGCAAAATTCAGAGAAGTGAAAATTTCGAAGGATAGCTCTGTTTTCAGTTCATGCATTGTTTCAGAAAGAATGTATTAGATAGGTTTGTCTTTAAATGTGAACCAAATCAAATTTCTCCCTGCCCCCATTCCTATTTGTTCTGCTAAAGTATAAAGCAAATCACCCAAGAAACTGAGTGCAAGGCAGTGGTGAGATCTGAATGCCAAACAGAAAACAGGCTTGGAGATGGATGAGCCTTCAACAATGCACAACTGAGGAGTGGGTGGCTCACAAAGTTATCCCTGGTCAAAGGTGCTGTGTTACCAATGTATCTTTCTTTTTGCCTGACAAAATATGGGCAGAATATGAGTCCTGATTTAGCTTTGAAAACATTCAGCAACCGTAAATGTTCCATGGTCCCTTGGAATCTAGCAGTTTCTTCTTTCAAATTGCTTACCTAAATGCATCTATAATTAAGCATCATTTTATCTTAAAATATATTGCAGGGTTTGTGTTTGCTTTTTGCAGAGTTAATTTTAACTCCTTTGAAGAAACAGGGCAGTTTCTTGCTGGAGTATCTATTAGCAGCTTTAAAATATACCCAAGGCGCATTCCTGGTTGACCAGTATCACAGAAGTCAGCCCTTAGAAGTTACAAGGAGCTTACATTGAAATGCCATCTGCTTGGGACGTGGCAGCTCTGCAGTTTTCTTTTTTTATTATTATTACTGACCTTTTGTGGATGCTGACCTTTGCATTGTACACACGTATTCTAAGCCATCTGAGGTGGGTGGGTGTTCCAGAGTGTTTTGCCTGGTGTAAGCAAATTGTCATTTATTAAGCCTCTGTAATATATGTGATACAATACTACAAAGTATCCCCTCTCTCACACACACAAACGGATTCCTGATTTCTGCTGGTGTTTTGTTTTTTAAGATGGGGTGGTGGGTAGATAAATTTCCCATGCTGAGGAGGTCTGCACTGAGGACGAATGGCAGGAGCCACCCCCTCCCCCGATCCCTATCCTGAATCTTCCCAGGAGCAGGAGGACAGCATAGATTTGGAACAGTGGTTTGCAGAGGAGCAGAGTTCAGAAGGCAGAAGCTAGGAAATACTGGATGGGGAACAGTTGCAGAAGAAACACTGGAAGAGAGAGAGTTAACAGATTCACATTCTCTGGATAGCATCCACCCCCCTTCTCCAAAGTCACGGAGAGCTCCAAAAGTGTCAGAACAAAAAACACAGAGGGTACAATACCTAGGAGTGATGTAGATGAATAGGAACGGAAGGGGGGGAGTGTCCCTTAATTGGGAGCACCGCCATTTCTAGGAGATGTGTTCTTTGTTCTCTCGCTGTGATTATTAAAGATCTAACTGGTAAAGCGTTCCTTTCGTTTTATCTCTTATCTACTGCCACAGGGGCAGGAAGCCGATTCCCCGAAGCCTGACATGAGTGTAAATTATAGAGCACCCTCTGCCAACAAGTCACTGTCCCAATTTTTCGGACTATGAAACCTTATATCCCAGCCCAATCACTGATATCATCCAGGAGGAGAGCTTTTAGCTGTCCCCACGTCACAGAGGCCCAACTGACCTCAACTAGCACTTAAAGGTTGATAGTGATGGCACTAGGCACATTTCTCCAGTGCCATTGAGTCAATAATTCTGTTCTCATGGTTGCCAACCAGATAGTGTCTTATGCTCTGGACTGCTATGACACGCTATCAGTCCCTCTTGTTAAGTACCCCTTACACTCTGTTCTTATGCAGTGTTCTGAGGACCATAACAGGAGCTGTTGTCAAAGTTTAGGACAAGGGCACATATCTGAGGCTTATCTATTTCAGGACTGACCCAGGAAGCACTTTGGAAAGCACTAGAGTTTTAGCATGTCTTGCCAAAAGGTCAGCGTTTTCAAAGTAATTGCTTTGCCACCATCCCCCTCCCCAAAGAAACTGATGGCTTCACTAATAGGATTATAAGAATGCATTTATCATTTTGACCATCTTACAGCTTAGTGAAGAGAAGGGGAACCTGTGGCCCTCCAGATGTTGTTGAACTTAAGTTCTCATCAGCCCCAACTGTCCTGGTTAATGATCAGGGATGATGGGAGTTGTAGTCCAACCACATCTGGAGGGTTCCCCAGCTTTGGCATAGTGCTTCAGCTAGGCAAGGGCACTGCAGATGGCACTAGATAGTAACCACAAGACATCAAATGCCCTTAAGGAAGCACCTTCAGCTATCAAACTATACAACAGAATTGAGAGAAGGCCATTTCCATTATCCACCCTTCCCCCAAAAAATGTTCACATTACTACCACTTCCTGGAATGTCTGAAGCACATCTAAAGGGAAGTTTCCTATGTGTTTTTTGTCAACGTGTGAACTATTTCTTACATGGTCAGAGGCAGTTATGCTTCTGAATACCAGTTCCTGGGAGCCAAAGGAGAGGAGAGTGCTCTTGGGCTCAGGTCCTGCTTGCTGGTTTCTCACTGGCTTCTGGTTGGCCACTGTGAGAACAGGATGCTGGACTAAGTGGGGCATTGGCCTGATTCATCAGGCTCTTCTTATGTTCTTGCACGACCCTGTAGGCTTTAGGGCGGTAAGGTAATAGCCTCCATAAGATTCATCATTAGCATTTCATCAATTCCCCACGGAAGAGACAGCCAAACAGCTTCAGCCTTGCATTGGTTTTTAACCTGCACTCATATCAGGGGACCAGATGGGTCACAGTCTGCCTTGTGTAGAAAGAACCTATTTGACAGTATTTGCATTTCCAGGCAGATTTGTATGCAGGGTTTGGACATGCAAGCAGCTGCTGCTTCAAATTCTTACAGCAGCTTCACCAAAGGCCAGATGGGATTTTTCATTTTGGAGAGAAGGCAGTGATTCAAAGAAGAAGAAGAAGAAGAAGAAGAAGAAGAAGAAGAAGAAGAAGAAGAAGAAGAGCGTCTTTCCGATTGTACTGTGCCAGTGTTTGCAAACCAAGAATGAAAAAATCCGGGGGGGGGGGGGAGAAATAAAACTGAACTTTCTGGCCACCTAAATATCAATCAAGGCATGGAGCAAACATGCTGAGCTAATGAGCTTCCCGGGTCTAAAGCTGCTGAAGGAGAAAGCTCCCTTGTCTGTGCAAAGCTAGCATCTAAAAAAGCATTGGGTGGATTCTGCAGGCAGTGCAGGGCGAT